CTTTCCTCCTTCATGAAGAGCAGCTGGCCCTGATGCAACTCCAGACATCGTTGGTCTACAAGCTCCCGGCGGGACAGCCACTGTCTCAGATGCTCCTGAAGTTCGTCCACGCGTGGCAGGCGGAGCACAAGCAAGGCAAAGCTCACCCCTTCGGAGCCATTTATCACTACGTGGCGGGGGCACTGCTCTTTGAACTCTCTAAGTCCAAGCAGGTCCCACCCGGAACCGACTCGGCGGCTCTGAAGGACTTCGTTGGACCGGAACCTCGCAACCTCCTGTCAGCACATGTGGCACACTGCTCTGCCCGGCTGAGTGCCAAGAAGGATCACCTCATCCTGGACTACTGGCCCGTGCTGCACTCTCCCTTAGCCAAGTACGTCTCCTTGATGGCGATGCTTCTGGACTCCTACGAAGGCGAACGTCTGGGCAAAAAGGCCCCTGGCAGTCTAGCGCGCAAGGCGAGGGGTAAGCCGGTACAACCTTCACGGTACGAGCCGGGGCCATTGGCCGAGTAGAAACAGGAACGAAGGTGGCATTGCCTCTGGAGCTGCTGAGCTGGCATCGCTTTTAGCGCAGTTTTGAAAGAGTCACGCATGCTGCCGGACCTTCAACATGAATGGTCGGGCTTGAATCTTGCAAATGTTGGCCAGGCTGCCGCAAGCTGCCTCAGCAAAAGGGCCTTAGATTTCGGACATAACCGTTCCGGGGCCGAAAAAAAAGACGAGCAGACGCAGTCCTGCTCTCCGCTCCGGCAGATCGCACTCCAGGTTTAGGAACCATATCACATGCAAGTTTGGGCTCGACGACAAGCACTCCAGCTGGCACCTAATCTTTGTGATAGGCCAGTATGCCGGACCTCCCTCATGGCATTGAATACTACACCGCTATGTGGGAGGAAGCCTGTCGTCAAGGCCATGACCCCAAGGCATATCTACATGACGAACGCCTGGAAGCCTCCACCTCCGGCACCGGGTTCGGCACTGGCTTGGGCAGCGGATCCGGCTGGGGTGGGGGGGATGGTACGACCACGCCGAAGTCCACGCCTGAGCAGGACAGCAAGCGCCACCGGCCCCCTACTCCGCCGAAGCCGAAGTCTGGCAGACGTTTCCGGGGCAATAGCCCGACCGGGACAGGCAAGACCAAGTGAGGGCATCGCGATTCGCGCTGCGCGCACAATTCGAGGGGCAATGCACATTGTGATTGCCGTAACTCACCGATAGGGCCCTTGGCCACCTAGCTACAACTCTACACAGTCGGTGTCAGGAAAAGTCCGCCGGTCAAGCAGCAGCAATAGCTCACGGTTCCAACAACTGTCTCCCCGTAGACTGCCGTCCTGCTCAAGGACTTGGGCTGGAGCCATGGGCTGCTGTTGAGCATCCTGGCCGCAGCGGCAGCCTCTACCCCGACGGGGATGGACGACATCGAGGCTATCCTGGATCGCATGGAACACCAGGCGGCCACTCTTGGCTGTTTCCCCCCGCCCTCCCCGCTGTTAGGTCCGACGCCCGACACATGCATGGAGTTACTCCAGGGCCTACGTGGCCCGGAACTGGGCAAGGGCATGACTTGCACGGTTGCTCAGTGTGCGGCCCAGCGGGCTTACGCCCTCAAGACCGTTCATAGCCAACATAAGTATGAATGGTTGCGGGAGGTCAGCAGGATGAGACGCCTCCCGCCGCTCTCGGTCCTGCAATCTGTCTTCGCCACGGCTGATCTTGTCTCATTGCTGCCACGTCTCTGGCCTCTTCCCCAACACATGGAAGCATCGGCGCTGGCCAGAATGAAGAACGACATCTCGGCTGCGCTGGAGCTCATGCACCAGCATAACATGGTTCATGCCGACATTCACGCAGGCAACATCATGATGAGACCGCAGCCAGCGTGTTACGTCCTGATCGACTACGGCGGCTGCTCCGGTGACACTGTCTACCCACTCAAGCTTGGGTATGGTGCCATTGGCTCAGGTGGTTCGCTACACAGGCCACCTCATCATGAGGCTGACCCCTGTCCTGTTCGAACGGCCTATGGCGATTACTACCGTCTGGCCCAGACCATCAAGTCCCACCTCAATCGGGGCGAAAGACCTCACACAGGTTCTCGCAAGAGAACCAAGACACTGCCTCATCACGTAGACAAGGAACTTCAGAACTGGATAGACAGGGAGGCTCTACCGATTCCCACTTCCCCGTCTTCTCCATTCCCGCCTGGCACCTGGATTCAGTCAGCGATCAACCCTCAGGTGCTGGTCACTGCTTTCCTATGGAATAAGGCCGGCGTCGCGACTCGGCCATCTTCAGGAGTCCAGACCACAAGCTCGGGAACGATGATGGCACCTTCGTGAATGAAGCAGTTGGGGGAATTGCCCAAGGAACGGGATCCTGGGAGCAGTCGGCCACCCACGCCAAATTCTTTCTGCAAGGGGCCTTCTGCCAAGGGACGATCTTTCGCCAATGATGATGGCTACTTGGTCGCGGAGCACCCACCACCACCTCCTCCGCTGCCAGAAGAAGACTCCGACACGACGGACCTCACCCAGTCTGGCGATGGGGGCATTGCCCGGGGTCAACCTGCGGATGAAGGCTTTGTTCCGCCTCTTCAGGGTGTCTGGGCCCCGTACCCACACGAAACCTCCCCAGAAGAACCGTCAAGCCACAGGGAGAGGGTCCGAGAGGCGAGCAAGCTGCTTGAGGAGGCTATCACGGCACTTCCGGACACGGATGCGGACATGACGGTGGGGGCGACACGGTATGTTCCACTGGAGGACAACACATCAATCTGCGCCTCAGCCAAAGCACATCTGAGCGGCTCGGCTGACTCCATGCGTCCGACTGGGGCGTGGGCAGGCGCCCTTCGCTTCGCGGCAGACGTGCTCCAGGAGGTTGCCAAGGACCTCGATCCCAGCAACACCGCATCGTCTGCGCCAAGGACTATCACACCAGCTGAGATGACCACCAAGCGGGGTGTCCTGACCCCGGAGCTGACTGCGCAGCTAGGGTAAGAGTTCTCTCTAAAGCTGGTGGCATTGCCTGCCTGCCATGCGCATGAGCATACTTTTCCTAGCTGGAGGCATTGCCTACTTCCAACATAGGCTGCGGAACTTGTTCTGAATGCCTGAAGCTAGGCAGCACCTTTGGCGCTCAATTCTTCCGATGACGGGACTCGCGACGCTCAGAGACGGTCGTTAGCCCGAAGCGGAAAAAATGCAGTCTGAGAGGCGCTGCCACAGTAGGAGGGGTCTGCAAGTTTTAGGGACTTATGCTCTCTGTGCGCGATCGTACGCAGCAGGCTCAGCTACCCCCTGCTGCGCGGAGCTCTGTAAGAGTAGGGCGCACGTGGAGACTACGACCTGCCCCGGTGGACATGCCACTGGATGTCGCAGACGAGGACTGCGCCGACTCCTCCCCTCCGACCAAGCGCCGCAGACGGGCAGTCCCAGCAGAAGCCTGGCCAGAACACCGGACGGAAGCGGGGAGGGAAGTGCAGCAAAGGCACGAATGCCTGACCACCGCTCTGCAGCTCTACCAGCCAGCTTCAGCAGGGGCGCAGCCGGGACGTGTCCGCTTGAGGTTCTCGCAACGGATTGCCTGCACAAAAGATGGATCGCCTTCGCACAATTCGAGGAGATCTTGAACGGCATGCCCAAGACTTCGGACACCAGGCACCCCTCTCCGTTGGAGCCCGTCATGCAGGACCAGAAGAGCATATTTTTCGGGGCATACTCGCAGGGCCCATTGGCCGGACTTAGGACGCAGACGCGGAGATACCCCATGGTGATCAAGCTCCTAAACACGGTGATCCACACACTGTGCGGGCCCGTACCGCGCTCCACGTTGTTCTGGGGCTGCACAGGGACCCGAACAACCGCCGTGATGTTCCCAACTATCTCATCCCCCTCTCCAACTTCGAGGGCGGTCAATTGTTCGTCGAATCCCAAGCCGGAGACTACAGTCTGGACGAGCGCGGAATGAGGGGCTACGTCCACGAGGTCACACTCCCCTTCCTGCAGTTCAACGCGCGTCGACGGCACATGGTTCTACCGTGGTATGGCAGGCGGCTCATCCTGGGGGCCTTCCATGTCAAGGACACTCAGGCGCTGACCGAGCTCGCGCGGAAGTACCTACTGAGCCTTGGCTTCCTTTTTCACGAGAGGGCCTAGCCACGTCGGCTGCAATTTTGCCGAGCTGGCAATACCCTCAAGCTGGAGTCAAGTACGCCCGGTTTTTAGCCGTTTTGCGCCGGGTCCATTGGACATGCACATAAACTCCGAGGGCTATCCTCGGCTATAGTGCGGTCTAGAAGACCGGACCAGGCACGGCTTAGATCACTGAAAAAGGCAACTTGCTGCGCATACTTTCGGCGAGCACCTACACCTTGCACGGTGAGTGCCTGTCACGGCTTGCCCAAGGTTTCATCTGGCATGGGCGTCAGCGCTGACGACAGCGCCAAGACGTGCCCCTCTGCCGCCTAGCACCAGGGCTGGCTTGCAGCAACCATGAATCACATCACAACCATGGTCTACTGCCCAGATCAGCGGACCGCCGACTCCGTTGCTGTCATGCTCTCTAAAGCACAAGGTTAGCTGCCGACGAGAGGCACAGACACATACTAGACACGGGACAAGCAGAACTTCTCTAACAGCTGCACTGAGATAGCTGTGCCACAGTGTCGAAATGCTGGCTGGTGCCATTGGCAGCTGACACTCAGTAGTGCTGGAACGCTGGGAGCATTGCTCAATACCAGGGACCTCTGCCATGGCCACGCAGCCCCCAGGCGCAGATGACGGCCCCTTTCTGGTGTTGAGCGACAGTACCTTGCAGCACCTGCTTTTCTCCTCAGGGAGGGGGCTTTCCTATGGAATTTGGCCTCGCACATCTCGCGGGGTCCCGGGTGATCGTCGTGAATGTAGGTCTGGAAAAGATGCGTGGGCATCTCCCGCTTCATAGCCAATGGCTCCAAGTACCGCCTCAATGCCCAGGGTTTCTGGGTATGTCTGGCGGCCAATGACCCCAACTCCGAGACTGTAGTGGCCCGAGTTCCGCCGCGGCGTGCATCTCCTGATGAACATTGTCATCCGTGGAGTTCCAGGAGCATATCACCAGGACCTGGAACTTGCCCGGCTGTTGTCTCCTCATGGCCATTAGCGCACGACCAACCAATAGGCCAATTGCCCTCTCCGCAACCTCCGGGCGAAAGTGGCAGTTGCCCTGCTTGTAAAGTAGGTCAACCAGACCCGGTGGCGTAGGCCACTCATCGTGGCGGGCTTGGAGGCTCATGATGGTTTGCCCCTCCAGTTCAAATGGCCTGAGATTGTACTCATCCCTGACCCCCGCAATCCAGTCATATGAGCCCTGTCTGTGGGACGGCAAGCTCTCCCTCAAGGGGATGAGTCCCACATTGACCGGCCGATGAAAAGCGTCATGAAGACAATGTTTGAGACCGGAGTGCTGGACAGGGAAACGATAGGGCGCCATCAACGTGGCCCCCGCACTGACGACCGCATAGCCACCCATTACGGGTTCCACCCCGTGGGCTTCCGTCGTACATTCTTCAATGACGCTGCCTTGGAAAACGTGGTACGGAGCCACGCAGGGTCCATTGGGCTGAACTTGATTCAGCGCCTGAAACAGCCAGCTCACCGGGCTGATGTATTCCGCTACATTCAGCACTACAACCAGGGCGGCTTCTACATGGACATCAAGCTGTGCTTCACCGTCACTGTTGACGAACTGCGCGCACATATGGCCGCAGACTGGAAGGCGGAACATCAGGATGAGTGCTGGAAGCTGGGACTGCCGGAATCTCCGGCAGGCCAGCTGCCGTCGGAGTACTTAATGATGGGCATTGGTCAACGCGAGGGGACCATATTTTCCAGGGCATCATATACGGCCAGCCCAAGCACCCCTTGTTACTTCAAGCCATCAAGCACTCTTTCTCGCGCCGCATCCTATCTTCCATTGCCAATATGGAGTACATGATCTTTTGCAAGGAGCTTTGGCGACTCCTACAGCAGGACTTGGGAAGAGAGCCCCAGGTGGGATGGAACATTACCCGGCTCTACGGGCCGGTGTATTTGCTGCGCGAACATCTCGCCAACAAATATAAGGGTGGTGCCACTGGCTCTGATGGATATCACTTCAAGACGGCTTGTGGCCACGTGGTTGCTCTCACCAGAAACTGGGACTGGCGCCGAGGATTCAAGGGTGATCCCACGGCCAAAGAACGAAGGGCCCAGTCCCTGTTGCAGGCTCTGCCCCAGGCAGTCTCGGAGGCACAGGATGTGAAAGCTCATGCACACACTGGTGCGACACCTCATAGGGAGCAGCCGGGGGCATTGCCCAAAGTGGGAGAGGTTGGCGAGACCGTGGTGCAGTGCATTGATGACAACACATTCGACGCCATCATGGACGTGGTTAAAAATGAACCCCACTACGAGGACATACAGGCGGAGGATGTCCTTAGCTTCATTCCGAAGGGCCTCATTCTGCACCCCATGAAGCTGGGATGGTTATCATGTCGTCACTGCAAGCAGAAAGGCGCAAAACCCGTTGGAATTCCCCAACTAACCGTGGAGGAGCACACACGCCTGTGGCGCAAGCAACACCGGCCTCTTCGTCGACTACAGCACCGTCCCCACCTCCCTGGTTGCCTACGCAGTCGGAAAGAGAGACTGGCCAAATTCCCCCACCGGAACCAGTAGCGGATCAACCGCCGAATGTGACGGTGTCTGCGGCTACCTTCCAACTTCGACACAGCCTGGGCATGCCTCCCCTGCCTACCCTTCGGGAGCAGAGCACACAGCCAGTTGCCGCGGCCTCAATGCCACCCCCACGCTCGCCTGATTCCTCAGGCACCCCTCCCCCATGGGACACTCCGTCTGCTGGGGGGTCTGCCATGCATAGCCCTCCCACTCCAGTTGCAGGCGCGGAGCCTTCCCCGACGCCAAAATCCTCCGCCCCCATTACTCCGCCCAACGCCCCGGCAGAGGTGCCCCCTGTCTCTACGACTCCTGCCAGCGCGGAGGTCTCGAGCACGGCAGTGCACACTGTGCAGTCCACCACGCAACAGCAGGGGCCATTGGCCGGTGATGTGACGTCTACGACAGACCAACTCAAGGTGGTCAAATACCGTGGCCCCATCGAAGTCACGGAGCTGCTGGGATATGAGGCTGGACCATCCATCCAGTCCAGAGACGAAGTGACGGAACTGTGGAATCGCCGCATCGCGACTCTCAGCAAAGTTCCGTGGATATTTGGGCCCCTCCTGCTCGTTCGCAACGTCACTCACAAAACCTCATGGATGGAGGCAATGACGGCCCGTCTGGTGGATGACGACAAGGGTCGCATTACGGTGTCCCTTTCAACGCCTGGCGGCTCGCAGAGCCTGGCTACGGTCACCGCCTACTTCGGGATACTGGGAGGTCTCTTTAGAAACATGTGGGACAGGGACGAGATGGCAGCACTCCTAGAATCGGACGACAATTTCGAGATTGTCGCGTCCACGGCCAAATCGATGTACGACCGTAGTTGCCGTTCTTGCGATCTTATGAATCGCCTCATTATCTTGCAGCTGTAAGACGGCAAGGTTCAGCGGGCCATGAGGATCGAACACAGAGCTGGGGACACCGAAGCGAAGAAGAATTACCTCCACCAGCAGAAAAGATTGGCGGAGAAATCCGCAGCCCCAGCTGATAAACGACATCGGGGTGGCCAAGACTGGAGGGAGCCACAATGGCGGCAGTCCGGCTGGTGGCACAACTACCATGACCAGGGCTCGTAGAACGAAGACCGACAAGATCAGTCTTCGTCGTCGTGGCAGTGGAAGAAGAGGTAGTCGTCAAGAAGCCGGGGCCATTGGCCAAACGTTTTGGCCGTTCTCCAGGTATATCCTGGACAGACAATTTTGAGGCAGTGCTTGCTGCGCAGGGCACTGCTATGCGTTTTTTGGTTTAACACTGACCCGCCTCATCCAGATACGAGCACGGAAAAGATCCCTTGCGCAGAGGCTCACACGCAGTGCTCATGGCACAGGCTCAACAAGGTGTGGCACGGTGCTACCTCCAGGTACTCTGTTCGAGCCGAACCACTCGTCATCTGACCGTGGTCCTGTCACGTGGAGATCCTG